AGTCTAATAATCAGTAAAAATAATAATTGACTAATCCACTAGTAAGGTACTCTGTCTTTTCAAAACAAAAAGGAGAAATGCAGAAAATAAACATTTTTTAGATAGAATAAAGTCTTTTTTCTTGTGCCCACAAGCCTTTCTGAAGAAGGGCACAAAACCAACTCTCTTTTTCCCATGTTTGAATTTCTCTATTAAAAGAGATTAATTTTGGCATACAAGTTTTTTCTTTTCTTTCGCTTTAGATCATTTCAACCACAGCATCACCTCATAGGTAAAACAGCACATTCTTTCTCTAGGTTGTAGAAGACCTTTTTAAGATGTCTTATACTGTTTTGATTCCATATCTCAGCATTTTCCATAGACCAATATACTGTTCTTTCTCTTTTCAGATTGTGGTAAATGTTTCCCATGTTGTGTAGTGGATATCACTAAGTTTCCAGGCAGAAGTTGGTGGAACTTCAGGAAAACCTGCTACAGAATTGTTAACCATAGCGGGTTTGAATATTTTATGATTTTTGTGATAGTATTGAGCAGCGCAGCACTGGTAAATTGCATTTAATTTCTCTAATTTTGAATAGATTGTTGTCAGTAAAGGAAAATAATAGTATTTAATTGATTTTTCTGCTCTGGCCTTCCTTCCCACAGAGAGAGATAAGAATGTAGTAAATGTATCCCTTAACAGTGATAAGGCTTTCTCCCACTAAGATATTTAAATATATGGATATGTAGTTTTTCATGGAACATAGTTCTTCCTACACTTGTGTGTTAATTACAAGGCTAAACCAGAGTCTGAAATTACTTTGCACTTTTAAATAAAGTAATAGCACTTCTAAATGTTTAAAGCATTTTTAAAACATTATGATCAGAATCTCAAAGTCAAGTTGGCTGTAAACTGATAGGTGAGATAATGTTTCATTGCTACCCTGATCAGACCCATTTCTACTCAAGAATAAGGGAACTTTTATGATTTGAACACATATTCACTGTTGACTGAAAGTAATTTGTTAAATGAAATATTTTATAATGCAGAAGGAACATAACCAAATAATCTGAAAGAGATCTATGTGGTAAATGTCAGAATTTTCCAAATAAAATCTGCTCTGTGTACGTTAAATTCAGGTTGTTCACTGAACCATAGATTTGAACTGTCTGCTTT